AAAAACAGAGAGAGAGGAGAGAGAGAGAGGGAGAAACAGAGAGAGGAGAGAGAGAGAGAGAGAGAGAGAGAGACTAAATAATGTTTTAGATAACATAAAGATTCTTGGTGGTGAATAAGATTCTACATAAATAAGTTTTGATTCCTTACTCTAAAAGACCTCATATATAATGTGGCTGTTCATTATAAAATAATTCTTTAATTCTGTGTGTTGAAGTCTTTCACATAAAGATCTAACAAAAAGTTCTACACTGTATAGATGCTCAGTGTGAATCTTGGGTGACAGATTGGTTACTCATTTAAAAATATAGACCAATTTTATTTATTTATTTAGTACTGGGGATCGAATTCATGACCTTGTGCTTGCAAGGCCTTCATGGTGCCACTGAGCTACCTCCCCATCCCTATTTACTGCTATTAACACTATCATGAACAACTTTGAACTTAAGACTTTATACATTATATGATCCTTTCCATGTAATAAATTCTTAGAAATGAATCCATATGTTTCTATGACTTTCTAGGCATATCACCTAATTGATCTTTGAGTATGAGACTATTTCCACCTAGGGTTGAATCTCTAAATCCTAATTAAGATCCCTTTTTAAGGCCACTTAGAGGTCAAGAGCAGAAATTTATGACTTTTTTAAAAAATTGAAATATAGCAATAAATACATAAAAGTCATAAATCAAAGAGCTTGATTTAAAATTTTTAATAAAATGAACACACACATGAAAAGACTTAGAAACATCATTATCAAGTCCCTGGATCCCCTTTTCTGCCACTTTCTTTCCAGGGAGCTCCTCCCAGTGACTGGGCGTAGCCTAGGGAATGGGACCTGGACATCTCTGTCCTCTATGAGCTGCCAAGATTTTCTCAGAGCACCATATATCTCAGTCTGAGGCTCTTGGTACTAAATCCTCTTTCCTATCTCCTCTCCTTTTACAGATGCCAGACCTGCATCATGGCCTGCAGACTTTCCCTGATGACTCCTGCTCTGTTTCCCCTTTGTCCTTTAACAACAGGTATTACACACAATACATTTCTTGCATTTCTGACTTTGCCATGACATCACCTTCTCAAAGGGCTGACAACACAGATGGTACTGAGAGTGGTCTGAAACAACAAGCTCGTTTGGAACAGGACCATGTGCCTTCTGGCTGACAAAAAAAAACTCCATTCCAAGTAAGATTTGGGCAGGGATAGTCTCAGTAACAAGCTCAATGGTTCTGCCACCTGCCTTGCAAGCACAAGGTCCTGAGTTCAATCCCTGGTACCAAACACACACACACACACACACACACATACACACACACACACAAATAAACAAGTACTATTCAATTGCCAAAAATATCACCACTAGTGATTTAAAGTAATATCCCAATGAGAAAAGCACTGGATGGTGAGATGATTCAAGCCTTTGAAAAGCATGGTTTTAAGCCAGTCATGGTAGCACATGCCTGTAGTCACAGCTACTCAGGCTACTCAGGAGGCTGAGGCAGGAAGATCACTTGATTTTGAGATCAGCCTGGGCCACATGGAGAGACCCTGTCTGAAGAAAGAGAGAAAGAAAGAAAGAACATGGTGTTAAGAGGAAGGGGAAACAACATGCATGAAGATAATGAAATTGTTTCATTATTAAAAAGTTGGGTTGCCATCCTATGGTGGGGTAATTGGAAATGGAGGGCAGTTGACAAACAGCCATAGCTAGTGGATGACTACCCAACATGAGTCACTTTGGTAGATTAGAGTAGAAGAGCTAGCACAACCAAGGAACAAAATCAGGATCTGACAGGGTTGGAGAACCCTGAAATGATTAAATGTTCAGCCAAGGTGGCTCTTTTAGGCCCCGATTGAAAAAATCTAGGATCCTGAAACGTGGTATGGGAAAATCTGGGCACCTCTAGACACCCCTTGTACCCCAAGTCTCCATAGGTGGCCTGGCTCTCCCTGTGTAGGAAGACACTGCCATAGCCCTGCCCACAACAGGAAACACTTAGGGGTTCAGCCCACCTCCTCTCATGCCTGTAAGATTAGTAATACAGGTTAAATCCCAGCATAACTTGATTGGGGGTGTGCTGAACAAGGATGGAAGGAAGAAAGGAAAAGAAAGACAAAGAAAAAAGAGAGGGAGAGAACGAAAGAGAAAAGAAAGAGTATGGTGTCAAGAAGAAGGGGAAACATTATGAATTACGAGACGGTAATAAATTGTCTCATTATTAAAAAATCGGGTTGACATCCTATGGAGAGTGGTCCTCTAGTGCTCCTGTGGCTATAGGAGACATCCAGAATGAGCAGCTGAAGGAAGAGGAAAAAGCTCAAGTTTGGTTACAGACAGGGCAGTTTGATGTGTGGGTACAAGCTTTGCCACTGGAGCAGCCACAGTGGCCACATGAAAGAGTAGATGCGGTAGCAGAGACAGAGGCTAGTTATAGGCTGAAAAGCAGGGGCTTCCTCTTCACAATCTGACCTCAATATTGCTGCCTCTAAATGTCCAACCAGTCAGCAATGGAGACCAATGCTCAGCCCCTAATATGGCTGTATTCCTTGAGGAGACACACTAATAATAAGTTGATAAATCGGGCCCCTCTACAAGAGGCAGAGTTTCATGCTCAGATAAGCATACTTATTTTAATATACATTTGTTCCTCGTGTCCTTAGAGCCACTCTCCAGGGATCACAGAGAGTTAGATCCACAGACATAGCATTTCACTCAACACAGCACCTGACCAGGGGACCCAGGTAACATGGTCTGACTGTTTGTGTGCCATCCCCCTCACCGTCAAATTTATATATTGAAATCCTAACTGGTAAGGTGATGGTATTGGAAACTGGAACATTTGGGAGGCAATTGAGTCATGAAGCATCTGCCCTTGTGGGATCGGTGGCCTTAAGAAAGAGCCCAGAGGGAGCTTGTTTCTGTCACCATGTGAAGACACAGCTAGAAGGCATCATCTGTGAGGAAGCAGGCCCTCACCAGGCACCAAACCTCCTGGCACCTTGTCTTGGACTTCCCAGCCTCCAGAACCATGAGAAATAAATTCCTGGTGATTATAAGCTACCCAGTTAATGATATTTTTCTGTAGAGTCCCGAACTATCCCAGTTTGGAGCACAGGGGTGTGAGTGTGAGGCAATGGCCTTGGAATTCACTGCGCATCAGAAGCTGCAGACCTGACAGATGGGAAATGTCATCATGGAGGCAAGACTCTTAAGGATAGGGTACTGCTCCAGGATGCAGTGTACACACTGAGTCATATGCATGATGCTCTGTCCTCAGCAGGAAGAAAATATGTGCCTAGGGACCAGGAAGTGGAAGCAGAAATTGCTCCACTTACCGTCATTTCCAGCAAACTGCCGGAGGATTTTGTCTCCCATTCCTGGGCCCTGTAAAGCTGAAGGACCTAATAAGAGAGTGCACCGCTGCCAGTGGGCACAGTAAACACACGTTGCAGCTGCCATTGGGGCACTTTGGATTCCTTGTGTCCATGGCCTAGCAGGCAAGAAGGGGAGCAGGTATCTTAGCAAAGATCATTGTCCCTGATCAGCAAACAGAGGCAAGGTTCCTGTTCCACAGTGATGGCAGAGAGGAATATGCCCGGAACTCAAGTGACCCACTTGGGTGCCTCTTGGCATGCTGCTGTTGAATTGTGATGGAAGTAGACAAGTGCAGCAATCCTTGCCTGAAAATAGCATCACCCAAAGCTCACAATGAAGGAACAGGGAGAAGCTGCTCCCTGAATCTGTGCAGCTCCAGGTTTGAATGGGTGCACTGTGGGATTATCCCTTCCAGAAAGAACTCCATGATCAGCTGCAAAGTTAGCAAATAGCTGACAGCCTGCAGTTGGAGTGCCTTTGGGATCTGTTGCAGTATGGTATCTGCTGCAATGTTTGAGCTGAGGCTATGTTTCTTCAGGGTAGTCCCAGCCATGACTGGGTATGGCAGGTACCCTCCTTTATGTTGGGGAACTTTGCTACCCAAACCCGACTCCAAACCCTGAAATTCCAGCAGGAACCACCAGCTCTTCTCTGTCAGCTCACTTTACCCAAGTTGTTTGGTCTAAGGATGGGTGTGGAAGAGAGGCCACACACAGGTCTTCCCTAGATTATTATTTGTTTTCTATATAGCTAAGAAAAGAGTCACTTCAGTGAAGGCAGTTGCAAGTGATAGACTCAAAGCCAGGTGTGGTGGCACATGCCTGTGGTCCCAGCACTTCGGAGGCTGAGGTGGGAGCATCTCCATAAATTCAATACCACCCTGAGCTACATAGTGAGTTCAAAGCCAGTCTTAACTACATAGTGAGACTCTGTCTCAAAAAAAGAGAGAGAAAGAGAGAGACTCAGGAGCTGTGATTTCTGGCTATGTGAAGGGGCCCATGTGTAGTGAGCAAGAACCCGGGCCACTCACCCATCCACACTTAACCCTGCAAGCACACACCCAGTAGTACAGACAAAAGAGAAAGCCTGAAGCATTCTGAGCTCTAGCTGTACCCCACTCTCCTGGGGTTTGATTGTTCCCACCTTTCCTTCCGGTGGATAAGATGGTCTGGTGTGCAGCCAATAAATATCTTAATTGGAATCATCTGTCTATCACGTGACCAAAAAAGTTGTGACATGCATTTAGAAGTATCCTTTATATCAAGTTAATGCAGATTGAGTTGAGGATTTATTACATTTCAGACAATGACTTTAACACTTTATATGTGTGGTTTCACTTAGGCCTCTCAGCAAAATTCTGTTATTTTTTCCTACCTATATATAAAGAACTGACGCTACTTTATTTTAGAATCCAGAATAAGGTATTTCACCAGCCATCTTTACAGTGGGACTTCGAGGGCAGAGGCATTGGGGAGGCCTGTTAGATTCACCTGATGATGACAGCTCTGGTGTGGCTTGAGGGGGCTTAGCAACTCCTCAGAGACAACCATTTTTAGGAGTAAGGAAAGAAGCACAGGCAGAATCAATAACTTCCCACATGTACACATTTTGTGTGGTAGATTAATTTATGGGTCGTTTCCGAGTTTGCTGCCTCCAGCCTTTCCTTCCCTGCTTATCAGTTCAGATGGCTTTTGCTCTGGAACTCCAAGTCCCACTTGGCCCCCCTCTTTCTTCTCTGACCTAGAACAAATGATTAACCACACAAAAACAACCATTAACACTCTTTCCAAGGACATCAGTGACCTCAGTAAATCCAAACCCATAGGCAAGGCACTTTCTCCTCCACCTCTCTGCTGTGTGTGACGCTGTTGCTTTCCCTCCTCCTCCAGCATCCCCAGACCACACATCTGCCTGCTTTTTCATGGTGACTCTTCTGTTACTGCTTCTAGGCCTGAGCCTAGTGTCACTGTGACAACTGCATTTACTTGTAGATGTCAGCTCTTAGCCCCTAACCTGACCACTCCCAAATCTGTGCCTTCAACTCCCACATCAGCCTCAGATCCAAGTTCCGCAATGGTCTATCTTCCCACATGGCCCTCCTTGGAATTCATCTTTGTTCCCCTGGAACACCCAGATCCAGGGCCTGCTATAAGGAGGGAAGGGAATAAAGCTCCTGTGTGCCTCCTCCGGTGCTAGGCACCTCATTTAACCTTCACAGTGTCTTTGTGAAGAAGGAATTGCAATCTCCATTCTGCAGTTAGAAAAAAATGAGACAAGGGAAAAATCCCCAAATGCAGACCTCTGACTCATACTCCATGCTCTTTCCAATGCATAGTCTGCCTCCTCCGATTCAGTGAATAGATTATGCACCATCTGCCTTCCAAAACTTAGTAGTTTAGTAAGAGAGATAGAGAAAATAAGGGTAAATATAGGAGTGTTAAAAGTGCTATGATAGGGGTTTGGAGTCAGGAAAAGCTCCACCAAAGAGAAAATACTTTGAAGCAGGAAGGACTAGAATTACACAGGAAGAGGACAAGGTAGGACGGGTGGCTCGGGCAGAGGCAATGGTGAGCAGTGAGTACAAGTGCCTGGGAACTGAGGGGAAAGAGGGGTCGGCAAGCAGTTCCACGTGGCAAGAGCCAAGCAGAA